TGTTCACGGTGTGTGTGTGCGTTCACTGCTGTGTGTCTGCACTTTGGATGGGATAAATGCAGAGCACTAATTCCGAGTATGGGTCACCATACTTGGCCACATGTCACGTCACTTTTTTTTCACAATCAAAATGGCCAAGTGTAGCTCTCCAATCACACAGCTCGAGATTGAATCTGTTATAACCTCATTCATAAAGCAAATGATCATTTAAATCTGGGAGAGTGACACACTGAGGCATTACGCAATAAATAAGAACTTGAACACAACCTTCTCATAGCGGACTTCCCCTCACCTTATACTAGTGCTGGGCGGTATACCGGTTCATACCGAATACCGGGGTTTATTTTTGTTATGATATGAATTTTTAAAATACCGCAATACCGGTCGGTGTATGTCGCTTAAACAACATTTGGAATGCGACACTGTTTGAAAGGGGTTCCGTTTCACTGTTACACTATGGTAAGGGAACAGCTGTATGTTTTACTAAGCGTGAAAGTTCCGAAACTAAAGCTATAGAACTAATAGAACGTGATGACACAGAAGAACTCATCCACAATATCCACATTGACCGCCACAAATATCCACCGCCCCCTGCCATCAGCTCCCGCGTCTCACACACACACGAGCGTGACTTTAGCACTAAATTGAGCAACTTTCAGACCCTTTTAGCGGCTTTTTTTCCTTAGAATATTCATACTGACAAACCTAGCGACTTTTTTGGATAAACCTTAGCTATGGTTCAGTTGGAATATTTTGCCAGTGCTGTCCCGCGAATGCGAGGTCTGACTTTCCCAGAGAAGTGTCACCTCTCTCAGTGTCTGTTCTACGCAGTGAGCGGCAGAGAAGCAGTGCATTCAGTTGGCCTCACCGCAGCCGACTCGAGTACAAAACAGCGTTTCCAAGTACCTGTCGCTTATTGATTGTTTGGAATTATAAATATGAGCGTAGTTCATATCACATGCACTTTTTTGTTTGTTGTTTTTTATAGTTACTCAGACGCAGGCAGTGCGCTGCATGAGACAAAAAAGTAATATAGCCAAAACAACCGCATAGCCGCTCTTTAGTGTAGATGCACGTTGATTTTATCAGACGATGCCGGGATTATAAATGAGAATGACTCCTGGTTAACATGTATTAAAAGGGGTCGTGTTTAGTCACTATTTAGTGTGGTATTTTTTGACAATATTCACTCATCATGACAGTAAATAGGGCATTCTAAGTCAATATACTGCAGTATTTCCTCTCTCAATCAGTAGAAAATATGGTTAACACCCGGTCATGCATGAAAAAAAAATACCTTCATGAACTGTGAAACGGGTATAATTTTGAAAAGTACCGTGATGTAAATTTTTGGTCATACTGCCCAGCACTACCTTATACCCTCTTAATCTCAACCCCATCTTAGACTCTCCTCCCTTTCACTGTCACTTGCTGCTGATGGGTGAAGCAGCCACATCAAAAGGTTGGAAATCACCGCCCCCACAATTCTCAGCACACAACTGAAGGATGATCAGTCTCATACAGGATGAGTAGGTAGCGGCTTTTCATAAACCATTTAACATACAATTCTAGAACGGCTGTGTGGTTTACCTGAATTTCCCAGCTGTTTATAAAATCTATACTCCAAATGGAGTTGAGGCGCTCTGGATTTGATTGGCTCCTGAAAGAGAAGAAACAGAAAAAGCTAGGCATTAGAGGATTACAGGAAATAATCAGAGAATCACTCAAATATAACACAAACGTGACAATAATCCCTGGCTTCAGGCTAATACAAACTAAAGGTAATTTCAGCATCACATATTTCTCATCACTACACATATACACCTTTTTTTTTGCACATTTTCCAACAAGGCACACTACTTGGGGTTGGTAAGATTTTTTTATAAGTCTCTATGCTCACCAAGGCTGCATTTATTTGATAAAAAATATAAAAACAGTCAAATTTAGATTTTTTTACAATTTAAAATAACTGCTTTCTATTTTAATATATATTGTATATTGTATATATTTAATATATAAGTGTGATTTATTCCAGTGATGACAAAGCTAAATTTTCAGCATCATTACTCCATTACTCTACAATCCACTCTAATATGCTGATTTGGTGCTCAAGAAACAGTTCTTATTGTTATCAATGTTGAAAAAAAGTTTTTGTAGGATGCAGTGGAAGTCAGGATAGAAGTGATAATATTTAGTTGCACTGTGCATGCGAAAGTTTTATTTTTAAGAACAAACCGATAAATACATAAATGCACATAATTAAAAGGAAATAATGGATAGACAAACAGGATATATAAAAAGTAAATCTAAGCAACAAAGAAAATTTTACAGAAATGTCAAGTGAGTTAGCCGTTTACATCATTTAAGACAAATCATTAATATCTGTAAGAATACAGATGGCACAAGTGCTCTTTTAAAAACTGAAGTGGGATGGCAAAAGAGAAGTAAATGCCAACAACACGACTGTATCAGTTCTCATCGCCAAACTAGCAGCGAGTGTTCTGTCACCCTCCCACATTTTCTTTGTTATAAAGAAGCCATCCCTGCACTCTCTATAAAATTCAAGAGAGATTGCCTGGAAAAAACTTTCCAGTGTTTAATGGCCTGTAACAGAGAACACAGTGAGTGAGTCCTCAATCAGGTGTCATGTTACAGAGACGTCAGAGTTCAGCAGCCAGGCCTCCCAATCTCCCAGAGCCTGCAAACAGCCAGCGCTCAAGGTTTAGCAGCATCCCTTCACCTGACCACAGATGTGCACAAACATGACCTTAATTGTGTAATGGTGGCTCTGTGATTAAAGCCTTTGGGCAGGCAATGAAAAAAATCATAAGATCAATCTTAGGTATGTTATTCACCCATGAATCCAATAACTCAAATATCATTGATTAATGCACTTAAAAAACGTTTTGAGGATTTTTGCATGTCTTTGCAGTCTAATGTTTGTTTTGTGAATAGCAGCTAACACAAAACTAGCTAATTTGCGGGCTTCTATTCTCTCGGAGATACCACAATGTTGCTATAGCTACCACGCTGCAATTCATGGCAGTTTCGGGAGTGAGTCGTGTTCCGTACACACATGGAATTATATAGGACTCTACAGGACTGAATTATATACGTAAGGGATAATCAACGGCGTTGCATGACGTGGAGGCAAAGAACCGCCAAACGCGAAGCGAAGTGCATTTAAATCCTTTAATGCACGGCTAGCCATTGATTATCCCGCTTATTCCATGGTCATTTGCCAAGTTATAGACAAGTTAAAACTAGTATTGCTCTTTGCAGCACACTGTTTGACTGAATGGGTAAAAATTCGTTATTTTCGCCAGTTACGGCACGTTAGCGCTAGCATTCTGTCCGCTTCAAATCATACACAGAGATGAAATAGTGCGGTAAGACTACATTTATTTATATTATTATAGCATGTATTTCAATTAATTATCGATCGATCGTTTGAGAGAGAGAGAGATGACAGTTGTGTGTAGCTGCGTGTCTCTCTGTACAAACAATTACTTCAAAACAGAGATTTTACCACCTTGTTGCTGGGGAATATAATGTAGCGATCTAGTATCTAGGCTATTTTATTAATGAAAATCATGGGGAAGCGTTGACAACAAGTTTGTGTGTGTGCAGCGCAATCAGCGATCTCTGACCTCTCTCTCTTCTCTGGGTGTGTGTGTGTGTGCGCGAGTGATGCTTGTTGGTTAGTGTGCATCAATTAAAGCAGCGCATTAATATAGAACGGTGATTAAACTGACTTGGAACTACCTGTGCATTAAACGGTTTTACTGCATACCTGCCAGCCAATCTGAATCCAGTATTCAGACAGACCATGGAATAAGATAATTTTCAGGACTCACTCCCGCATTTAAATACAGTTGTCACTCCTGAAACTTGCAGCGTGTACGTGGCCATAGAGAAATATTATAAACACAACAAATTACTAAAACTTTAACAAGAATTCAAATGAAATATAAAAATAAAAACCGATTTAAAATATTAACAACATTTATATTAGTTTCTCACTGTTACTAAAACAACACTGCTTCAGTGTAACATGGCCCTTCAGGAATCTTTTGTAATATACTGATTTGTGCTCAAGAATAATTTCTTACTAATCAGTTTTGAAAAGAATTTGAAAACTGCTTTTTTCAGGATTCTTTGATGAACTAAGAAGTTAAAAATTTAGTGGGGAAAAATATTTTGTAACATTTTAAATGTCTTTACTGTCACTTTGATCAATTTAATGCATCCTTGCTTAATAGAAGTTTTAATTTGAAAAGGGTTTAAAGATCTACTGTGGCATTGAAAGGTAAATTCAGTAGAGTAATGGCTGGGTTAGTTAAAACACTAGAGACTATGTTCTGGATTCTAATAGTTCAATCCAGCTCATGTTACTTGCTCAGAAAACGGGCAAACACAGCGGTGCAGAGCTGCATCTGTTGAGCTGTGATGTAACAGTAGTCAGGCACACATACGGCTCTTTCCAGGAAGAACAGTGACGGGATCGGACAGATTAAGCACACCAGAATGTCCATCCAAATCTCTCAGCTTTAAGGGGAAGTGGGGGCAAAGTTTATTGATATAAGATATAAGCCGCTGGTAAACATCTAAACAAGCTTCAAATGAAATATTAAGAATCTTAAATAAATAAATAAATAGCACTGAGAGATACAGTTACACTCTTTAAAATCAACAATGTGTCATGCATTCAAATACAGTTAGTGGATTCCATGCAAACTTTTAAAACACAGTTTCTCTTCATGCAAATGAGCATCATCATGAATCACGGTTATAAACAGGATGCCCAAGGCACTGGCACAGGTTCCTATTGTGAGCACTGTGCCCTGTGCAAATACGAGAAATCAGTGTATTAATACCCATGGACAGCTCTCCACCCAAATAATTAATCAACCACAGACATGCCCAAAGAGCATTACATTAGTATCACGAGATCTCTGAGGAGGAAAGCGCTCGGAGCGCATAAGTATATCAGCAAACTGCTTTATTCAAAACTAAACACTGAAAATGAAGGTCAAATAACAGTAGAAAACATAAGTGTCTATATGTGTCGATTCAACCAGCAAATACATTTGCAACCCATTTTACTACTGTGATATGATGTATTTCCAAGAGAAACTGGATATTCAACTAAAAAAGAAAAAAAATATTATTTTATTTATAAGGAATTGGATCAAGAAAAGTGATTGCTACTACATGAAAAGGATGGGAGTGGTTGAAAAAATAAGAGGGCTAGATGACATTAGCTGAAAAGGGAGAGTTGATTAATTATTCATTAAACATTTATAATAAGACCAGGAACATCTATTCAAATAAACAGGGTGACATTTGTTTTCATGTTTACTGCTGTATTAGACTCCATTATATATTTAATCTAGGGGTGCTCCGATCAGGATTTTTGAGGCCAATCACAGAAAGCAGTATCTGCCGATACGATCACCGATACCGACCTTTTTAAAGCCTTCTTTTTATCATGTAGAATTATTTATAGTAAGACTCAAATCAGGAATTTTAGACATTTATTCAGGGCCTGAATTTCATTTTTGAAAATGAATCCCCCTCTTAGGTGACTCTTGTGAGAGGGGATTTTTTTTTTAATTTGGGGAGTGGAGGGGGGGGGGGCATTTTTTAGACATTTATATTTTATCATATAAAATATATATTTATCTCACCTAAATGTTTGATCATGCACTGCATTTTTGTTTTTACAATCGTGCAATTGTTGTACAATAGCTTACACACAGCGCAAGCCTGATTTTGTGAGCTGTATGTGAGGCGGCCTTTTACACCAGGTTCACACATACTCCGTTTGCAGTGCGCATGCAGTCCGTGTGTGGTAGCGGTGCAAAAGCAGCAGGTGCTCACTGTGCTTTCACACAGGAGTCTGCAATTGATCCGTGGCTGTTTACTACAAACACCACATTTATCCATTATTTTGATTTCAAATCCAAACATTGTCACTGAAAATGCTTTTTCAGCGTTGAGATTCTTTTTTTACACAGTGCACAGTGCATAGCTAATACAATCTTTCATAGCATTATTCAATGCTTTTTACTTCTAGATTGATATATTAAGTTGCTCAAACAAGTGACAAAACATTTAAACTACTTTTCTTACATTAAACATTCTAAATTAAAACTTACCATTGACAGAAACAGTCAGCACTACTGCCTTTTTTT